TTCACTGAGTTACGCAAGCCCCTTCGCCACGACAAGGCAGTGATCCATGAAGGGGGGCAAAGAATAGCTAACAAATTTATTTGGAAAGGAAAAAAACCTACAGTAAAATAAAAAAAAATTACAAGATTCAAAAGATAAGGGTTTGGCCAATGGACTTCATAGATATTTATGGTATAAGGATATAAAAAAGATAAAAACTTAGAAGGACACTTTATAAAACAGAGCTTAATCAGAATAAGTCTGGAATTCCACAAAAACAATAATCGGTAATCTCCCTTTTAACCTCCAGAATTGTCTATCTGTCTTCAGAATAAACACCTTCTGGAAATAATTATTATAAGAAAAGTCACAAATGAAATCACAATTTAAATGGTTAATCTAGAAAAGATTAAAAAAATTAAAAATCAGAAGTTATATATTTCAAGGCCAAGGTCTTACTAATAAATAAAGAAATGGAGGGTGACTTTACCTCAAAATTAATATCCTGAAAGCATTGGCATGGCACACAAGGTCCAGTAATTTTAAGAACATCTTCTCTGGCCTCATTTTGGATAGTAAATTTTGGTAGGTATGGATGCCATTTCTGTTTCACATATCCAATGATGTTGCCTAGGGGTGCCTGCACTTCAAGCTAAAAGAGAGAGAGGGGGGGGGGAAAAACACATTTAATACAAAAAGTAGTCATATGATTTTATCTAGCACAAAAGTACACTAATGCTGAGGGTTGAAATAAAAAGACTTGATCTGATATGATAAAATTAATAGACAAAATAGAGAGAACAGAAATATATCCAATAAAGCATATCGCCTTCTTAGCTCTAGGTATCTTCCCTTCCTTCCTTCCACACCCCACAAAAGATTTCTGAGATCTTGCCTTCCTACAATAGGAAGACAGCTGCCTTTCATCAGAGCTCTTGTAATACAGTAAGTGCCATATAGAGGAGCAAGAGAGATGTTAAAACAAATTCTCAGTGTATACGTACCAAATGATCTAAAATTAGGTTCCAAGTACTTAGGAATTGTGTTTGGATGTTACTATGGAGCTAGCTGACTACTTTAGAACTGCTTTCTCTCAAGCCCACATTCATGAATTACAACTGCCAGGCTGAAAGGCCAATTTAATATGATTTCCCATATGGAACAATGTGTCCAGGTGGATTAGTCATGTCTATACAGAAAAACTTATAGGTGAAGTTTATCCCACCCATTTTATAAACATTTCTAGATCACAGAGGACTTCTGACTCCCTTCAATGGTCAGATAGATGCTCAAGTATTTCTCTTTGGAGTATGGGACAATTTCCAGCATTTGTTGGAAATGCAACCAACAAGAAGGGTTGTTTTACCATAT